TTTTTGAGACAGAGTTTCTTTCACTCTTGTTGCCCAGGCTGGAGTACAATGGTGCAATCTCGGCTCACTGCAACGTCCACCTTCCGGATTCAAGCGATTCTTCTACCTCAGCTTCCCGAGTAGCTAGGATTAGCATGCGCCACCACGCCTGGCTAATTTTGTATTTTTAGTAGAGACACGGTTTCTCCATGTGGGTCAGGCTGGTCTTGAACTCCTGACCTCAGGTGACCTGCTCACCTCGGCCTCCAAAGTGTTGGGATTACAGGCATGAGCCACTGTGCCTGGCCTTGTTTTTCTTTTTTTTTTTTTAAAGTAGAGACAGCATTTCACCATGTTGGCCATGGTGGTCTTGGTCTCCTGACCTCAGGTGATCTGTCCACCTCAGCCTCCCAAAGTGCTGAGATTACAGGCATGAGCCACCGTGCCCAGCCTATACTGTATTTTCTTAAAGCTAAATTCTTCAAAATCTTAGGGTTCCTGGAAAATTCCTTCAGGGGCCACTAGACACTAGGTTTCCGAAACTTCCCACTTACCGTCTTTGAACAGTGCAACTTTTATCTGTCATTCTTTATAAGATTTTATTTGAATAAAGAGCTCTGCAGTTAAGAACTACTACCTTAGAAAAATCTATGGATGACCTAAAGCTGTATGAGAGTTAATCTGACAGGTGACAAATGAAAACCCAAAATGAATCTTAATAGAATGAAATGATGGGATAAAAGCAACCATATAAATCTAACAGGGATCAATACAATGTCCTATATGTGAATTCCAAGTCATTCGTATACAATATAACATTAAATACCTATTAGAATTGTCTTTATAAAACTTTTTTTAACATCATAGGAAAATGTTTCTGGATATGCTAAGTAGGGAAAAAAGCAAGATGCAAAATTATACATATAAAAAGTGTATAAATCTCAACTATACAAAAATATATGCATAAAAAGATTAAGAGGAACTAACTTTTTTTTTTTTTTTGAGACAGTCTCATTCTGCCGCCAGGCTGGAGTGCAGTGGTGCGCCATCTCGGCTCACTGCAATCTCCACCTCCTCGGTTGAAGCGATTCTCCTGCCTCAGCCTCCCGAATAGCTGAGACTATAGGCGTGCACCATTGCACCCAGCTAATTTTTGTATTTTTTAGTAGAGACAGGGTTTTACCATATTGGCCAGGATGATCTCGATCTCTTGACCTTGTGATCCGCCTGCCTTGGCTTTCTAAAATGCTGGGATTAGAGGCGTGAGGCACCTGGCCCAGCACTAACTTTCATTTATATCCTGGATGGTGGATACAGATAACTTTTTATTTATATATTTCTGTATTCTTTTCTTTTGGGTGGGGGGATGGAGTTTCTCTCTTGTCGCCCAGACTGGAATGCAATGACCTAATCTCAACTCACTGCAACCTCCACCTCCCACTTTCAAGCAATTCTCCAGCCATGCCTCCTAAATAGCTGGAATTTTACAGGTGCCCACTACCACACCCAGCTAATTTTGTATTTTTAGTAGAGACAGGGTCTTGCCATGTTAGCCAGGCTGGTATCAGACTCCTGACCTCAGGTGATCCACCCACCTCAGCCTCCCAAAGTGCTGAGATTATAGGTGTGAGCCACCGTGCCCAGCTTGTATTCTTTTAAATATCCTAAAATAAATATTTTACTTTCATGACCAGAACAACAAATCATTAAAAAAATAAGCTGGGCCTGGTGGCTCATGCCTGTAATCCCAGACTTTGGGAAGCCAAGGCAGGAGGATCACTTGAGGCCAGGAATTTAAGACCAGCCTGGGAACAAACCAAGGCCCTGTCTCTACAAAAAATAAAAAGAATTAGCTATATGTGGTGACACATGCCTGTAGTCCTAGCTACTTGGGAAGCTGAGGTAGGAAGGTTTAAGTTAAAAGGTGGCAAACTACAACTCAACTCTTAGGGGAAATTTCACCTAATCTAAGTTGAATCCAGGCTCTGCTACCTTCCAGCTATGTGACCTTGGGTAAATTTAATCATTCTAAGGCTCGGTACCTTCAACTGTAAAATGAAGGGAATAACAGTACCCACTCATAAGATAATTTTTTTTTTTTTTTTTAGATAGAGTCTTGCTCTGTCACCCAGGCTGGAGTGCAACAAGGCTAACTGCAACCTCCACCTCCCAAGTAGCTGGCACTAAGGCGCCCGCCACCACACCCAGCTAATTTTTGTATTTTTAGTAGAGACAGGGTTTCACCATGCTGGTTACCCTGATCTCAGACTCCTGACCTCGAGTGATATGCCCTCCTTGGCCTCCCAAAGTGTTGGGATTACAGGCGTGAGCCACTGCACCTGGGCTAAGATAATATATGTTAATGCCTGTAAAGTACAGTTATTAGCATATAGTACATATTAAGTGATCAATTTTTTTTTTTTTTTTTTTTTTTTTTGAGACAGTCTCGCTTTGTTGTTCAGGCTGGTGTGCAATGGCATAATCTCGGCTCATTGCAACCTCTGCCTCCCAGGTTCAAGCAATTCTCCCTGCCTCAGCCTTCCAAGTAGCTGGGACTACAGGTGCCCACCATCATGCCCAGCTAATTTTTATATTTTTAGTAGAGATGGGGTTTCACCATGCTGGCTAGGCTGGTCTTGACCTCCTGACCTCAGGTGATCCACCCATCTCAGCTTCCCAAAGTGCTGGGATTACTGGTATGAGCCACCGTGCCCAGCCAGAATTTCCATTTTAAGGTTGAATACCCATTGCATATATATACCTCATTTTGTTTACCCATTCAAAGTGCTGGGATTACAGGCTCGAGCCACCACGGCCAGCCTAGTGATTAACTTTTAAATACAGCTTAAGGAATGGACATAGTAATGGCACCTACATTTGCCTTTTCAACTTCTCAGATCGCTTCAGGAGTTCTTCTTCATCATCATCTTCATGGTCTTCTAGTGCCAGATCTTCATTACCAGAGTCACTGTGTTCATCCTACAAAATCAGCATCACTTCCAAATTATGCAGAATAAAATGTGTCCTCAACAAAAACAGGATTTATAAACATCTGCCCAAACACCAAAAATTCTAGAAAATTGTTTCTTATAAGATGCTAAACTTAGAATTCTTAAGAACTGAGGGAAAAAAACACCCAAGTGCAGCAATACATGAAGCTCAGTTATGATTACTTTGTTCCCTTCATACTTACCTCATCACTATCAAACTCATTATCATTTGAAACAAGCCGAAAGTCTCCAAATTCCTCCTCCTCATCTTCTTCTTCCCTAAAATGCAAATCAATGAATCAATAAATAAGTTGTTTAAAGCAAACTACAAGTAATCAGACAAGTTAGGAATTAAAAAAAAATTGTGTGTGTGTGTTTTTTTTTTTTTTTTTTTTCCTGAGATACTCTTGGTCTGTTACCCCAGCTGGAGTATAGTGGCACCATCTCAGCTCACTGCAACCTCCATCTCCAGGGTTCAAGTGATCCTCCCACATCAGCCTCCCAAGTAGCTGGGACTAGAGGTCCAAGCCACCATGCTCAGCTAATTTTTGTAGAGACAGATTTCACTATGTTGCCCAGGTACATCTTGAATTCCTGGGCTCAAGCAATCTGCTTGCCTTGGTCTCCCAAAGTACTGGGATTACAGGTATGAGCCACCTTGCCCAGCAAAATTTAAAACTTTTACTAGCATCAATGATCTCTTCAAGAAACAGGGGAAAAATTTTTTAAATTTTCAGTTGTGGTAAAATATACAGTATATAGTTCAGTAGTGTTAAGTACATTCACATTGTTAAGCAATCTCCAGAACTCTTTTCACCTTGCAAAACTAAAACTCTATACCCATTAAACTCTCCATTTCCCCATAGTCTCAGTCCCTGGCAATCACCATTCTACTTTCTGTCTCTATGCATCTGACTAAGTATCTCATGTAAGTGAACTCATACAGTATTTGTCTTTTGGTGACTGGCTTATTTCTCTTAGCAAACATCCTAAGGTTCATCCATGTTGTAGTAAGTGTCAGAATTTCCTTTTTTTTTGAGACAGGATCTTGCTCTGTTGCCCAGAAGTGGCGCAATCATGGCTCACTGCAGCATTGACCTCCCAGGCTCTCACCCCGACCCCTGAATGCCCAGCTAATTTTAGTATTTTTTGTAGGGATAGAGTTTTGCCATATTGTCCAGGCTGGTCTCAAACTACTAGGCTCAAGTGATGCACCCACCTTAGCCTCCCAAAGTGCTGGGATTACAGGTGTAAACCACCATGCCCAGCCAGAATTTCCATTTCAAGGTTGAATATTCCATTGCATGTATATACCACATTTTGTTTACCCATTCATCTGTCAACAGACATAGGCTGCTTCCATGTTTTGACTACTTACTGTGAATAATGCTGCTTTGAACATAGGATGCAAATATCTATTCAAGTCTCACTTTTACTTTTTTGGGGCATAGACTAAAAAGTGAAATTGCTGGATCATATGGTCATTCTATTTTTTTTTTTTTTTTTTTAGACTGAGTTTTGCTCTTGTTGCCCAGGTTGGAGTGTAATGGCACAATCTCGGCTCACTGCAACCTCTGCCTCCTGGGTTCAAGCAATTCTCCTACCTCAGCCTCCAAGTAGCTAGGATTACAGGTATGTACCACCATGCCCAGCTAATTTTTTATATTTAGTAGAAACAGGGTTTCACCATGTTGGTCAGGCTGATCTCGAACTCCTGATCTCAGGTGTCCACCTGCCTTGGCCTGCCAAAGTGCTGGGATTACAGGTGTGAGCCACCGCAGCTGTCTCTATTTTTAATTTTTGAAGAGCCTTCATGCAACTTTCCCTAGCCGCTGCACTATTTTACCTTCTCACCAATAATACACAAGGTTTCCAATTTTTCCACATTCTTACACTTTTTGGTTTTTTTTTTTTTGATAAAAGTCATCTTAATGGGTGTATCACTGTGGTTTCGACTGGCATTTTTCTAATTATTAATGACGTTAAATATCTTTCATATTCTTGCCTTTTTTACCTTGTTCCCCATGAAAGCATTATAATTTGTTTACTAGGCATATATGATACTCAAATCCATTGCAAGATTCTCAGAAAAGGTACAAACCCCTTAAGATGATCAGTTATTGCTAACCTCAGAGAACCTGACCTCAAGATTTTATCAAAAGGCCAGGCCTTCCCAAGTTCCCAGCAATCTGAGACTTACCTGTCTGTTGGAAAAGAGCCTGAGCAAAGAGCAAGTGCTTCTTCCATTGGATCACCCATGCTGCTCTCCTTCTCCTGTTTATTTAATTCTGATGAGCCCAGAGTAGAGGCATCTACAACACAACAAGGATAAGATGTGTCACCAAGGAATGACAGCTTTATACTCTTTTCCCAGCCATCGAAAGTCATGCCAGCTCGATACAGTTCTAAGGTAAGCTTGCCAAGAAGAGCCTACCGTCTATTCATTCAAAAAATCCTAATTTAGTACTTACTATTTGCCATATGTGCCAAGCCACCAGGGATACAGTAATGAACAAACAACTATCCCAGGTCTCATAGAGCTTATGTTCTATCTACCAGGTGTGTGCATTGAGGGCAGGAGACAGGAAATAAATTAACATTTATATGAAATTTATTATACATCAGACACTGTTCTAAACTTTTAACATATGTTAATCATAAATGACGTATCATATGGGCAAAGCTAAAACAGTCTTAAGTTGATACTTTACCACGCTAAGAAAGTAAGAGTTCTAAATGTCAGGGCGCTAAGCAGTGAATTCAATTTATATACAAGATTCTGTCACAGCCCTGTTTTCTGTGAACTTTTCATCTGAGGGTAAGGGGCTTCTTTTCTTTTTTATTTTTAGGCAGGGTCTCTGTCACCCAGGCTGGAGTGCAGTGCTGTGATCTCAGCTCACTGCAACCTCCAACTTCTGGGTTCAAGAGCTCCTCCCACCTTAGCCTCCCAAGTAGCTGGGACCACAGGCACATGCTGCCATGCCCGGCTAATTTCTTTTTTTTTTCCAGAGACGTGGATTTGCCATGTTGCCCAGGCTGGTCTCAAACTTCTGAGCTCAAGCAATCCACCCAACTCAGCCTCCCAAAGTTCTAGGATTACAGGTATGAGCCACAGCACCTGGCTAGGGAATTCTTTTAAAGGACACGGATACCTGGGTGTGGTAAGCCTGATGCTCTCTGTTGGATATTTACCCTGAGAAGTGAATTTTCCTGAACAAAGGTTCAGAAGTTCCTCCATGTTCTCTTTCTTGTCACTCTTCCTGTGTAGCTGTTTTTCAGCCTGAGACGTAAACTTTCCAGTACACAAATCCAACAGCTCATCCATGTTGGCATCCATGGCATTCTCATCCATACTGGCCAATGGCAATTGAGGCTTCAAAGCTTGGTACTGATCCCTGTGGTTTCTAACATTTAAGAACCTACAAGCCAATGTGCACAATACATAGTATAAATATTCCTTAGAGAAATGGCAAAGTAGGGGGTGAAAAACCACTAAACTCATTTCCAATACCAGTTAAAAGCTGAATCTCAAACCAGAAAGCAAAAGATTCAAACTTTAGGCTTTGTTAATCTAAAGAGGGAGGGAAAAGTTTTGTGAAAGAATAAAATATTACTCAAAAGGTAAAGTGTTAAGAATAACTTTTAGCTTCAGAGGATGCTAGAGCAGGGCTTGGCATTATATCCTGTAATGTGTCACCAGTCTGTGAATTCTCAATCGTATCCAACAATAAAATAGCAGGATGGATACAGGGAAATGTGATGACCTTACAATACAAGATCTATGCATTTCAAACAAGACAGAAACTGAAAGACCAGAATGTCAGCAAGAGCTATTTATGTTTTATTCTCTGGACAGACTTTGCTCAAACTTACAGAATGTAATACTAATGGTCTGTACACCTTCTCTTTCTCAGAAGAGAAAGCACAGATGGAGTGACAGAAGCTCACTTATTTTTAAACAAAATGAAGCAGTACCCAGCACTATTCCCACCCACAGAAACACAAAACTACCTACCCATCTGCATCCAACAGTTGGCTCTGAGTGTCATCTTCTAAACAGAACTGGAAGTCTCCTGCTCCTAGGAAAAGTGTCTTAGGTTCTGGGGAGGCGTTATACAGATCCTGGGAATCCTCTATGGGAAGTGAAGGCTCAGACAGTTTCCCTGAACTCTGGTACCCAAACAAAAACAAACAATAACACAACATTTTACAAATGTCATTCATTGTCATGACAACAACAGAAGTTGCTATTTGCAAAATTCAATCTACTCTCCAGCAATTGCAGTTGAGGAGGACAATACACAGCCATCAGAAGCATAAAGAAAAATACCTCCAAGAAAGTAAGAATACTGGATGAAGCTTGTTTTTAATACACAAAGAGGGTGGATTTTTTAAACTGAACACACATAAGCTCAGTACCAATGTGGTGGGAGTTGGTTGGCTGGGACACACTTTATTTAGCAATGTGGGAAGCAAAGAGAGGAGGAGATTAGAAAAACCATTACCATCTTACCTTAGAAGCTGAGCTGACCAAACTGGCTCGAAATAGCCCAGGGGAAGGAGATCTGAATCCTCCTGCTGTAGGTAAAAAACTGGTCCCACGGCCTGTTTGTCTGTTGCAAGGCTGATAGGATGGAATCGTGGAGCCAATCAGCTCAAAGCTGCTATTGTGGCTGCTCTCCTTTGTTAGCAATGAACATGAATCATCCTCATCTAAAGAAAGAGAAACACCTTTTAAGTGCATGATTACAGAAATAAGGTGGATTTGTTTAGGAAAAAGAGTTGAGGATGAAACTGTCAGATAAAATTCATAGGCAAACCCCTAGAGTTATATGTTCCAAAACATTAAGTTAAAGGTAAATTATGGTACTAAGATAGCATTATGTAATCAGCGCTTATTACTCTGAGCAGTGACATTTGAAAGTTCTCTTCTTTTTTTTTTTTTTTTTTGAGACGGAGTTTTGCTCTTGTTACCCAGGCTAGAGTGCAATGGCGCGATCTTGGCTCACCGCAACCTCCGCCTCCTGGGTTCAGGCAATTCTCCTGCCTCAGCCTCCCGAGTAGCCAGGACTACAGGCACGTGCCACCATGCCCAGCTATTTTCTTTTTGTATTTTTAGTAGAGACGGGGTTTCACCATGTTGACCAGGATGGTCTCGATCTCTTGACCTCGTGATCCACCCGCCTCGGCCTCCCAAAGTGCTGGGATTATAGGCGTGAGCCACCGCGCCCGGCTCTTCTTTTTTTTTTTTTGGAGACGGAGTGTTGCTCCGTCTTTCAGGCTGGAGTGCAGTAGTGCTCACTGAAACCTCCACCTCCTGGGTTCAAGCGATTCTCCTGCCTCAGCCTCCCAAGTAGCTGGGACAATGGGCACATGCCACCATGCCCGGCTAATTTTTTGTACTTTTGGTACAGACAGGGTTTCACTGTCTTAGACAGGATGGTCTCAATCTCCTGACCTTGTGATCCAGCTTGGCCTCAGCCTCCCAAAGTGCTGGCATTACAGATGTGACCCACTGTACCCGGCCAAAAGTTCTCTTCTTTCTCCTATCCTGCCTAATGCCTATAATCACACTCTTCATTATCCAATTATACGTCTTCCTTTGATCTACATACAGAAATATTTCATTGCTCACTCAATCAACACATATTCACTAAGGACATTATGTGCCATGGCCTACTATAAATAAACCGCAAGTTTTCAAAAAATAGACCAAGAAAAATATTCTAATTCATAAACCGCTTTAATTGCCACATGAGAGACTGGGAAGTGACCAGATTAAAAAAAAAAAAAAAAAGGAAACTTACAGTACTGCAGTCCCTAAATATCAAAGCTGAGGGACAAAAGAAATGTCAAGTTCTGCACAAGAATCACTACTTACTTACCCAGTTTGTTAGGCCGTTTGCCTGAGTTTTCATCTGTTTCTGATTTTTCTTCAGCAGGAAAGTAACTGCAAAATAAGAAGGTAAATTGGTTCAGTATCTTTTCTTACTTTTTACAGGAGGGACAAATCCAAGGCAATTTTATATTTTTTTAGAGAGAATCACTTACCCCATCTTGGAAGAGCTGTCCTTAAATAGAAGTAAAGTAGAATCTGATGAGAGAGACTTGGGAACAGAGAGGAAGCCAACTGACTTGCCAACTTCACTACTGCCATCATTATTGTCTTTATCCATTTCTTTTTCATCTTTGGTTTCTATTTCTTCACTACTAAGAAGGAACTCTGCAATCTTTACCAGTCATGCCACCACAAAACAAAATAATACAAGTCAAAAAAATTTAAAAGCAAATAAACTGTTAGCCTGAAATATGGCTGCTTGGTTACAGGTCACATCTTAAATTCAAAAAGGTCAACTTGAAGGAAGTTCCATATGACCGTTATCAACATAATTTTCCCTGATACTTCTAGAACTTGTTTGTATTGCTTTTTAACTTTTATCCTCCAGAAATTGCTAAGATTATGAAGGACAACTGCATTATCATTTTATTGATGCAGTAAGAGGTTAAACAATCAGTTTGCAGGCTAACTACTGATCACAAACAAAGCACAGACTGGGATAGGCTCTACAGTTCAGCCATTGCTTTCTTTCTCCTTTACCCCAAATTAAATATTAACTCAAGTTGCTGGGCGTGGTGGCTCAGCACTCTGGGAGGTCACAACAATGGGAGGAACGCTTGAGGCCAGGAGTTCAAGACCAGCCTGGTCAACATAGTGAGATCCTCTTCTCTTAAAAAAATAAATAAATAAACATAAATTAAAAAAAAAAATTAACTCAAGTGATCCCAGCATACAAAAAGGAAAGCCTTTTCCCCCCTCTTTTTTTGAGATGAGTCTCACTCTGTCACTCAGGCTAGAATGCAGTGGCACAATCTCGGCTCACTGTAACCTTCACTGCCCAAGTTCAAGCAATTCTCCTGCCTCAGTCTCCCGAGTAGCTGGGACTACAGGTGTGTGTCACCACACCCAGTTAATTTTTGTATTTTTAGTAGAAATGGAGCTTCACCATGTTGGCCAGGTTGTTCTCAAACTCCTGACCTCAGATGATCTGCCCACCTCAGCCTCCCAAAGTGCTGGGATTACAGGTGTGAGTCACTGCACAAGACCCAAAAAGGAAAGCTTTTTAATACTTAACAATCGTTATCATCATCTGTCTTCCCGAGGCAGAAAACGATACTATGGAATAAGGGCAAGAGGCTCTTCTACAAATGCCTTCTTCAACAAAGAATGAAAATAACTCAGAAAGACCTCTGCCTCCTTGAGAATTTACTCTAGACCTCAATCTGGCCAAGGTTAAGACTGCTTTTTAATCTGATAGAGAAACCTAAATAAACAACAAAGATAAAATTTCCATTTTTAATATTAGCATTATTATATTAAAACATATGAACAAACAGGTGGAAGCCAAGCCAATGGTATTCTGTCAGTACCATTGAATACCTGTATTGATATATAATAATGATATTCAATGGTACTGAACATCTAAAGATATTCAATGGTACTGACAGAACTGAATGTACTAAGATTTAGGCATATATGAGGTAGTTATCCTTGCCATGCTCCAAAACCTCTTATACAATTGAACATGCTTATTATACTCTTATTCAAATCTGACTTTTTCTTTCATATTCACCATGACCAAGTAACAAAACAACATAATTGCCAGAAACCTCCTGATTTCCTTCTTCTTCCTCTTCTTTCTCCTCCTCTTCCTCTAGTTCTTCCTCTTCTTCCTCTACCTCATCTTCTCCATCTTCCTCAGACTCATCTGTCATTTCTTCCTCTTCCTCCGCTTCTTCCTCAAACCCATCTTCATTATCTAATTTAAATAGTGCTTGGCGCTTCTGGCGTTCCTCAAACCTTCGGAGTTTCATTGCCTCTTGCAGTTTAGCTTTTAGCACCTGAAGCTTTTCACCTGAACAGAAATATGTAGAAATGCTCTAGTCATAATACAACAATTAAGTATGCATTTCAGGCACCTCCAGAAGTATGCTAGTCACATCCCAAAAGGAAAATCTGAGACCTTAGTATTCTGGGCTTTTTTGCTATTTGAACACATGAGGATTATGAATTGAAGTATCAAAGAGAACTTCTGCTCCCTGGGATAGTATACCACTCAGGGATTATAAAATTGTTGTTCAAAAGAGAAAAAAGGGGGTTAGGGAGTGGAGCTTCAAAAGTCTGTGACTCAAAAGCCATGAAGAAAAACACATAAATTTACCTATGTTAAAGAAAAAAGAAACAACTCAAGAGTAAAATGGGTAAATGATATGAACTGGCAGTGCACAGAAAAATAAACATATATTGTTGATAACAAATTAAAAGTAATGCTTAACCTCACTGCTAATTAAAGAGCTACAGATCAAAATAATGAGATACCATTTTCAACATGTTCGGCAAAAATTAGGTTTGATAATACCTATTATTAACAAGAGGAAACAGGAACTCATACACTGTGATTCAGAGTGGTAGAACCATTCTGAAACCATTATGGATGACATACATCAGAATGTGATATATATAACAACAATTCTACTGTAAGGAATTTTGCAACTAATATACTAACATATATCTGATACTATCATGCAACACTGGAATGCAACAGCAAAAACTGGAACAAATAAGACATCCATCAATAGGAGTATGGTTTAATGAGTCATGTTGTATTCATTCAATGGAATATTATGTGGCCATTTAAAAAAAGCCTCAAAAACAACATAAGGTAGATCTGAGCTCTGGAGTTGGGTGGTCTGGATTAGACCACTGGTCCTATCATTTATTAGCTGTGTAAACTTGAGCAAATGGCTTAAGTGCTCTGCATATCAGTTTCTTCATATACAAAATAAAGATACTAATGTTATTTACCTCATAGCGTTGTAAGGATTAAATGAGATAAAACATATAAAGCACCTAGAGCAATGTGTGACAGGAAGTAAATGTTCAATGCTACACACATTCACAAAAAATGGTACATGGATAAAATACTCCTATAAGGACACACAAGAAATTGTTAATAGTTATCTTTGGGAAGACTAATTTTTCATTTAATACCTTTTTTTTCAGTGTTTAAAACTGTTTTCCATGTGATACATTACTTATGATTTCAAGGTGGGGGTGAGAGCTGTCCTTAATACAGTTTTAAAACAAAAAGCAGATTACAAAGCAGAATGCATGTTATGATCACATTATTAGGTGAGTTGTTTTGTTTTGGGTTTTTTGAGACAGGGTCTCTCTCTGTCGCCTAGGCTGGAGTGCAGTGCCACAATCATGATTCATTGCAACCTCAACCTCCTGGCTCAATTTATCCTCCCGTCTCAGCCTCCCAAGTATCTGGGGCCACACGTGCATGCCACCATGCCTGGATAATTTTTTTTTTTGGTAGAGATGAGGGCTCACCATGTTGCCCAGGTTGGTCTCCAACTCCTGAGCTCAAGTGATCCTCCTGCTTTGGCCTTCCAAAGTTCTAGGATTACAGGTGTGAGCCACTGCACCCGGCCCTGTTTTGTTTGTTTTTGTTTAAATACATATACATATGTGCAAAGAAGAGAGTTTAAAAGGATACACAATATGGTTATAGAACCTGTCTCTGATAGATTAAGTTTTTTGTTTATTCTATATATTTTTCTATAATGGATATTATTTTTTATAAGACAAATGATATTTTAAAAAATAAAGCCAGCTTGTCCACCCCGCACCTCTAGGTGTGCTACACGTGAATCATGCCAGAGATACTCCTGTCCAAAGTCTCGAAGGAAAAATATTCTATAACTTTTCATTATAAGGTTTTCAATAGCCATGAAGATCTGCTAGAATACAAAGCAAAAACCAAAAAACAAAACCTGTGGGCTCAAATACCTGGTTTTGTGTGGCTTGCTCCTTCCAGCTTCTTAGGTGCCAAAGTCACAGATACCACATCTGCTTTTAGCTCTTCCTTTCCATCAGTGCCCACGTCTTTCACTATGACGTTCACATTCACTGTATGACCAGCCCTGGGTTTGGCTGCTGGATTAGCATGCTTCCAGAAACGCTGCTTCAAGGCTTCCAGTTCTAAACCCAAACACCAACCAGTGTGTCAGTTTGCCATGCTCAGAACTCTTTCCTTTAAGACTTATTAGCTAAGTTTTTTTTTAGCTGAACAATGATGAGGAAAACCACAAACACAAAGAAATAAAAAATCCCTTGCTATTAACTCTTGAGTCAAATTCATACACCTTAACCCAAACTAATGGACTGTTCCAACAATTCTTCCTCAATATTTCAAAAATCAGACTTTTAAGACAGAAATTTATACCTGAAATTTCCAAATATGTGCAATTCTCTTGAACATTCTTTAAAAACTCTTTAAAAGTATTAAACTGGTAGGGAAAAAATACTACATATCTCAACTATTCAAGGGCTTAATTTTCCATGGGTTTTAGTCTCCTTTTTAAAATTCCCTATTTGTTGTTGTTTGTTTTTGTTTTGAGACGGAGTCTCATTCTGTTGCCCAGACTGGAGTGCAGTGATGTGATCTCAGCTCACTGCAACCTCCATCTCCCAGGTTCAAGTGATTCTCCTGCCTCAGCCTCCTGAGTAGCTGGGATTACAGGGGAGCTCTACCATGGCCAGCTAATTTTTTTGTATTTTTAGTAGGGACGGGGTTTCACCATGTTGCCCAGGCTGGTCTTGAACTCCAAGACTGAAGTGATCCACTCTCCTCAGCCTCCCAAAGTTCTAGGGTTACAGGTGTGAGCCATCATACCCAGCCACTTTTCATTTTTCTTTTTAGAGACAGGGTCTTGCTCTATTGCTCAGGCTGGAGTGCAATGGTGCAGTCACAGCTCACTGCAAACTTGACCTCCTGGGTTTAAGCATTCCTTCTACCTCAGCCTCCCAAGTAGCTAGGACTACAGGTGCATGTCACCACACCTGGCTTTTTAATTTTTTTGTAGAGACAAGAACTCGCTATGTTGCCCAAGCTAGTCCCAAACGCCTGGCCTCAAAGCAATCTTCCCACCTCAGTTTCCCAAAGTGCTGGGACTATTAAGCATGAAACTTTGGTTAATTTTTGAAAATGCACTCAAATCATGCTTCAGTATTTTTGTAACTAGCATCTAGATTTTTTTTCCCCCTAGAAGGTCTTACTAGAAAAAGAGAAAAATGAAAGAAATCTTTTTATCCTGAGGTCCCCAACATTATCAGCAGCAAAAACCCAACTCTAAAGGATGGTATGTTTACATGGCAAAAAAAAGAGTAGAGAGACAAGCTGTTAAGTCTGCCTATTTTGCAGTGGTTTAGTAAAGTTGAAAGCAACAGGTGGTGGCAGGGAAAAGGGAACAGAAATAGGCAGGTTATTATGGGTGCCTCTAGAGTAAACGAAATGGTTGGGTGGGAAGATTACCTGTGACTTAAAATAGCAGTGAGGCAAGAGGTACCTTCATTTCATAACTGGAGAAAGCTAGGATCCTCAAAGCTCTTCCTCCCCCAACCCATTGGATCAACCACTTTCTTTGGCCTTTATTACATGACACAACCATCACTGTCTTCATCCTAAAATTCCTGTTCAAGTTCCTCTCCCTCCGTTAGTCTCCATTAGTCCATCACCTCTCATTTTCTTTCTTAAGTGAAAAGTCTCTGCCCTAGTTTGTCTCTACCAGCAGCATGAGAACTGCTCTCATTCACATTGCTCTTGACCAGAAAGCAGAGGAATTAGAGGTAGAAATTATTCCATATGCTATTGCAAGCAACAAAAGTAATATATTTCTGATATCACAAAATTTAAATTTATATGCATTTTCTCATGGAAACCTTATTCTATATGAGGTAAGGAAACTGAGCTGTTCCCACTGTTTTTAACCCCTTCCAATGCATCCAGCACACCAGTTACCAGATTTAACTTCCTAAAATGAGTATCTGACTGAACATTTCCTTTGCTGAAAACCTTTCAATGGTCCTCTACTTATAAAGAGCTAAAGTCCAAGCTCCAAGCATGGCATAAAAATCCTGAATTGTCTGGGCTTTGATGACCAATGTCCTTGCTATCTTCACTTCAGTCAGCCAGAACACCCTGTGCTTTCTATTGTCTCTGACATTCGCAGGTCCAACTCCTCCACCAAAAAAGCCCTCCCTCACCCCTCTGCCTTAGTATCTCTACTGAGCTCCTTTCAGAAACTTCCCTGATTTCTAGGCTCCAAGTAAGGTACCCTTCCTCTAGCTTCCCAATGCACCCTCAACTACATACCTTGATCATAGCACTAACCATCCAGTATTATAATGGTCTGTTTGCCTGCCTATCACTCCTATTACACTTTAATTTCTTCGAGAGCAGGGAGTGTTTTACCTGTATACACAGCACCCAACACAGTGCTAAATAAAAGTTTATTGCATGAATGAATGAATATTGATTCTAACTTCATGTATATTATGGCTGGTCTGAAAACTCAAATTTCATATCAATTATTTTTCTTTCTTTCTTTTCTTTCTCTCTCTCTCTTTTTTTCTTTCTTCCTGAGATGGAATCTTACTCTGTCACCCAGGCTGGAGTGCAGTGGTGCAATCTAGGCTCACTGTAATCTCTGCCGCCGAGGTTCAAGCGATTCTTCTGCCTCAGCCTCCCAAGTAGCTGGGACTGCAGGTGTGCGCCACCATGCCTGACTAATTTTTTTTTTTTTTTTTTTTGAGATGGAGTCTTGCTCTGTGGCCCAGGCTGCAGAGCAGTGGTGCAATCTTGGCTCACTGCAACCTCTGTCTCTCAGGTCCCGGTTCAAGCAATTCTCTTGCCTCAGCCTCCAGAGTAGCTGGGATTACAGGCACACACCACCATGCCCAGCTAATTTTTGTATTTTTAGTAGAGATGGGGTTTCACCATGTTGGCCATGCTGGTCTTGAACTCCTGACCTTGTGATCTGCCCACCTCGGCCTCCCAAAGTGCTGGGATTACAGGCGTTTGAGCCACCGCGCCTGACCCATGTCAATTATTTCTAAAGGAAAATATGTTCCAAGTTAAAAAAGTAAGTGCTTAACATGTGCCAGGCACTGTGTTAGGTCCCTTTATAAGCCAAATATAATGTTGGAAAAATTACCTAACCTCTCTGAGCCTCAGTCTCTTCATTTTGCAAAATAATACCTGGGGCTATAAGAATTAAGAAAGACAACTAATAACCAATAAAGAATGTACCAGTGTCTAATTTAGTTGGTACTCAAAAAAGGCCTCTCCCTTTCCTATCAGTCTAGGATTGTTTAGGTAACTTTTAGTCTCATATAACAAAATCTCTCCCTCAATGTTCCAGACAACAGCTTACTCTCACTCTTCTTTGCTAATGAAGCTACGCTAGTTCTGCTAACTCTGCCAACACAACCTCCAGGCCTGGTCAAGCTGACTTTCACATCTTCCCATTACACACCATGCAGAGCTCTTTCTTTCTCTCCGTTTCCAAAGTCAACCCATTCAGTTAACAGACTCACTGAGCATATTTTACATACCAGATATAGTGACTGACATAGCACCTGCCAATAAGCTGTTTAATGAAAGAGAATCTTGTGTGTGTGTTTTTTTTCTCTGAGACAAGATGTTCTTTCTATCCTCTCCAACTCCAAAGTCAACCCATTCAATTAACAGATTCACTGAGCATATTTTACACACCAGATATAGTGGCTGACCTAGCACCTGACAACAATAAACTGTTTAATGAAAGAGAATATATATATATGTATATTCATGGGCTCAAGTGATCCACCCACCTCAGCCTCCCAAAGTGCTAGGATTACAGGCATAAGCCACTGACTGCACCTGGTTTAATGAGTCTTGGCCAGGTGAGGTGGCTCACGCCTGTAATCCCAGCACTTTGGGAGGCCAAAGCAGACAGATCACCTGAGGTCAGGAGTTCGAGACCACCCTGGTCAACATGGTAAAACCCTGCCTCTACTAAAAATACAAAAATTAGCTGGGTATAGTGGCGGGGGCCTGTAATCCCAGCTACTTAAGAGGCTCAGGCAGGAGAATTGCTTGAACCCAGGAGGTGGAGGTTGCAGTAAGCTGAGATCGCAGCATTGCACTCCAGCCTGGGTGACAAGAGTGAGTAAAACTCGATCTCAAAAGAAAAAAAAAAAGTCTTGATGTGAGCCACTTCACTAATAGTAGAAGCAGCAACCACTTTTTGAGTGCTTCTTTATCCATTTGCATGCATTATTTCAACAAATCTTCACATAACCCACAACCAAGTCTTTGCTTGCTTGCTTTCTCTCTCTCTCTCTCTCTCCTTCCATCCCTCCTCTTTCTCTCTCTTTTTCTTTTCTTTTCTTTCTTAGATGGGCTTTCATATCCTGCCCAGGATGACCTTAAACTCCTGGGCTCAAGTGACCCTCTTGTCAGGTCTCCATATGCAAGCCTGGAGCCTGAAAGTCTGAAGTCCTGCTTGCCTCAGCTAATCGTCTCACACCCCCCACCTGCATTCGCCATTGTCCCTAGTGGCCCAGCGGAGCTTCCCCAGACAAGCTCCTCACCCAACTTTGCCATTTTAACTGTAATTATAACACTCATATCCCACCCGCCATTGTAACTGAACTTATGGTAATGTATACTCCTTGCCCCTACCCCCACCACTGTAACTGATTCTTACTCTGTAACATTCCACTGCCCACCCTAAACCTATAAAACCAACTCCTATCCCACTGCCCTTTGCTAATGCCCTTTTCCGCCTTAGCCCACCTCCACCAAGGTGAATAAACAGCCATGTTGCTCACACAAAGCCTGTTTGGGGGAGGGGGTCTCTTCATTCAAAGCCCACATTTTTAATATTTGGTGCCGAAACCCAGGACAGGGGAACTCCGATAGGAGATCAAACGCCCATCCCTGTTCTTGTGCTCCCTCCATGAAGAGATCTACCCACCAACCTGGGGTCATCAGACCTGCCCACAGACGCGCACCACAAGCTATTTTGGTAAGCAGTTTCTCTTTTTTGCTTTCCCATTCTTTTGTCTTTTCCTTTCCACTTCCTCCCCCTTTTGGTTTCATGGGGAGGAAGTGGAAAGGGAAAGACAAAAGCGGGTGGGTTGTTGCCCATTTTCCTTGTCTCTGCTGCCTTTCCAGAACCATGGGCAATCGTCCATCCTCTATCCCTCCCTCCTCTCTGCTGGCCTGTGTTCTAAAAAACCTCAAGCCTCTTCAACTGTCTCCTGACCTAAAAACTCAAACGTCTCATCATTTTCTGAAATACTGCATGGCCACGATACAAGTTAAAAAACCGCTCCAACTGGCCAAAATATGGCACCTTCGACCCCTCTATTTTACAAGATTTAGACAATTTGTCACAACACGGGCAAATGGTCTGAAATTCCCTATGTCCAGGCATTTTTTTACACACCAGTCCCTCCCTAATCCCTACTCCTTCTCTTCCCTTCCATTTGCCCCTCCTTCCTCTGCCAGTAAGCCAAAATCCTCCTTGTCCATCAACGCTTCCAAACTTTCTCCTCCCCACCTGTCCAAACCAGGCCCTAATCCAGGACCTAACGTCACCCCCAAAGCCTTCCTCCTTTTCCTCTGCCCACAACCCACTTCCTTATGCCTCTCCTGTCACCTCCCTACCTCATACTCGGCCCAGCTTATAGTTTAGTCCCGTGGCTACCTCCTCTGCCCTTCCCCAACAATTCCTCCTTCCACAGGTGGCTGGAGCCAAAGGCATAGGTAGGGTGCACATTCCTTTCTCTTTGCCCAACTTTTCCCAAATTGGCCACTGGTTAGGCTCCTTTTCATCAAATCCTCCAATACTTAACCCAGTCCTATAATCTCACCTGGAGTAACTTAAATGTCATCCTTACTTCTACTCACACCCCTAAAAAATGCTTAATATGCATTTTATCATCCAATCAGCCCCTAACATTACAAAAACGTACAGAAATTAAAATCTGGCCCTCAAATCCCACAACAGGAATTAAGCAACCTCACCTTCAAGGCGTTTGATAATAGGGAAAAATCTGCCCAGCAGCAGCGCATCTTAGAACTACAGATGCTTGCCTCTGCCATAAGACAAATCCCAGCCATACCACCGGCTCACAAAGACTTCAAAGCACCCAGACTGCAGCACATCCAGCCGCCCCTCCTGGACCTTGCTTCAAGTGTGGGAAACCTGGCCACTGGACCAAGTAATGCCCACAGCCTGGGATTCCTCCTAAGCCCTGCCCCATCTGTGCAGGGCCCCCACAGAAAGTCGACTTTCCAACTCACGTCGCTGCTCCCAGAGCTCCTGAAGCTCCAATCCTCAGCTTGGCAGCTAAAGACTAATGCTGCCCAAGTATCTCAGAAGCCCCCTGGACCATCACGGACACTGAATTTTGGGTAACTCTTACGGTGGAGGGTAAGTCCATCCCCTTCTTAATCAACACAGAGGCCACCCACTCCACGATGCCTTCTTTTCAAGGTCCTACCTCCTTGGTCTCCATAACTGTTGTGGGAATTGACAGCAAGGCCTCCAGTCCTCTCAAAACTCCCCAAGTCTGGTGTCAGTTAGGCCAGCACTCCTTCCAAATTCTTTCCTAATCATCCCCACTTGTCCAGTTCCCATTAGGCCAAGATATCCTAGCAAAATTGTCTGCCTCCTTAACTATTCCTGGGCTACGGCCACACCTCATTGCCTCCCTCTTCCCTGAACCCATACCTCCCTCAATAGCTCCCCTTATGTCCCCCACCTTAATCCTAGGGTGTCAAACACTGCCTTCCCATCTGTTGCTACAAGTCACTCGCCCCTCATCATCCCCTTAAAACCTAACCACCCTTACCCTGCCCAGCCCCAGTACCCCATTCCACGACAGGCTTTAAAAGGTGTAAGCCTGTTATCACCCATCTATTGCAACATGGCTTTTTAATTCACCTTCCTGCTTCTTCAGCATCTATACTCAAAGGGGTATCATGTATCCCCTTCCAAAGCCCAAATTTCTTCCCCATCTGTTATAATCTTTTGCCAGCATACACACACTCTCCCTGCCAACCGTATCCAGTTAATTTCCCAAGCCCCAACCCCAACCCCATCTACCAAACAACATCTCTCTTTCCAGGATGTGGTTGCTACTTTCACCTCTGGATACCAGGTTTTGCTATTCTAACTAAGTCATTGTATAAACTCACTAAAGAAAACTTATCCAACCCTATTAATCCTAAATCCTTTCCTCACTCCTTAAAAACAGCTCTAAAAACTGCTCCTTCCCTAGCTCTCCCCAACTTGTCTCAACACTTTTCATTGTACGCTGCTAAAATCCAGGACTGTGCAGTTGGGATTCTTACACAGGAGCCAGGCCTATCACCTGTAACACTTTTATCCAAACAACTTAACCTAACAGCCCTGGGCTGGCCCTCATGACAATGCACAGCAGCATCTGCCACTCTAATACTCTTAAAATCCCTCAAAGTGACAGGCTATGCCCCATTTACCCCCTAGCTCTCACAACCTCCAAAGTTTTCTCTTTACACCTCACACACTTTCAGCCCCTAGCCTTCTCCACCTTTATGCAGTCACTCCTACTACTTAAACCACACCTCAAAGTCTATTTCTAATGTTTTCTGTCTAACTGTTCAAATTCACTGTACTCATTTACTTTTACATGCCCTGCCAAATTTCTCTATAAGGGACTCTGCCCATATCTGGAACAAATGTAGGGTAAGATCACATGTGGTTATTGGTTTCTCCTGTGTTCTCTGTCCTCAACAGTGGCCAACAATCAAAAGCAGCCAGGATAATCACTCCAGGGAGGCTCCCCACAATTTAAAGGATTACCTCTTTTGGTTTCAGGTTCATCAAGTATCACAAAAGAATCTTCATCAGCACCTAGCCGTGGTTTAATGGAAACATCTACTCCCAGTTGCTTAAGTCTGTCCAGAGTAAACCATCTCACTTTTTCAGGGGGCACAACTGCTGATGATTTTCTTTGCTGCCCAGGCTCTTCCACTTTCTCATCTGTTTCTTTTGGTTTTGGGAGGCCTTCGCCCTCCAGGACATGAGGTTCAAATGCTACAAGCCCTCCAACCTGACATTCCTCACTGTGATTGTTCCCAAGGAAGTTGGATTCCTGTTGCAACACTGAGCTGTTCCCAGGTGAAGATCTAATGTCACTCTGCTTCCGTTTCTCTTGAATTTCTCGCTCTTCATTTTCTACCAAATCCTTCCTGCAAGACTCATCTGATCCAGTAGTGATCCAATTTTCCTTTGAAGCCACGGGGAGTGCGTTAATTTCCACTTCATTTTCTGCACCTGTTGTCTGCTCAGAACCTTTACTATGGTGATCACTGTTCATTTCAGTAGTATTTGCAGTGTCTATGATTTCTTTGTGATGGCTTGACTGATATTTAGATGACCTAGAGAAGAGAAAATGAGCTGGAGTTGAAAATTATCCTAAATGTGAAACCTTCTCATCCCTTAGCATATAATAAATCAGTTTTAAGGGAGTGAGAAATCTGAACTTTTTATCCCATATGTTTGCTACAAAACTGAAAGTTCATGAAAATTATAATCATAAGGAAAGAGGGTTCTTACTTCAATAGTGCCATGGCATTTCCCTGGCAAGTGGGCCGGGGTTTACGTTTGAAGAAATCGTGAATGGTTTTATTCTCAGGCATATGATATGGAAGATTAAGTGCAGACTCTATAAGAGGAAATAAAACAAACAAATCTATATACCGTATATTCTAAGATGTCACTACATATTCAGTTCACCAAACATAATAACCAAAGCCATCACTAGAAATAGAAAACTCCCTTGAACAAAGGCAAGAGCTAAGTACAAAAGAACTCCTTAAAGACCAGTGGCTTTTAAACCTAGCTGTGAAATCAAAATGATCCAGGAAGTGTTTTACAGATACAGATTCTTGGATCCCATTTCAAATCTAGTGAATCAGAATCTCTATGGGGCCTAAAAAGATATATACAGTAGCTCCCCCTTATCCACAGGCATACATTCCAAGATCTGCAGTGGATGACTGAAACTGCAGATAGTACCGAACCAGTGTTTTTTTGATCTGATGACTGAGAGGGCTACTAACTAACAGGCAGGTAGCATATAGAGCATGATACACTGGACAAAGGGATGATATTTTTAAATTCCATGGTCCATGGCTGACCACAGGTAACCAAAACTGCGAATAAGGGGGGATTACTACCTCTCAAAAGAATCCTGACACAATCAGTCCACAGACAACCATTAAAAAATTTCCTCTGGCTGGGTACGGTGGCTCACACCTGTAATCCCAGCACTTTGGGAGGCCGAGGTGGGATGATCACAAGGTCAGGAGATTGAGACCATCCTGGCCAACATGGTGAAACCCTGTTTCTACTAAAAATACAAAAAAATTAGCTGGGCGTGGTGGTGCATGCTTGTAGTCCCAGCTACTCGGGAGGCTGAGGCAGGAGAATTGCCTGAACCCAGGAGGCAGAGATTGCAGTGAGCTGAGATGGTGCCACTGCAGTACAGCCTGGGCAACGGTGCTAGACTCCATCTCAAAAAAAAAAAAAAAAAGTCTTCCTTACTTCCCCTACAGTTCTGAAAATTTCTTTAGTTTATACCAATGTTCCAAAGGGCTTTAGAACAATGGCCATTCACCAACATCAATTCTAAACTTGGTATTATAACCTGAGTTCACATTAGAAGTGTTAAAAAAAATAAGTCTCCAAGTTGAGCTTACAAAGAAATACTGTGACTTTCCCTCAAAGTTTACTGAGTTGCATTACCTCGAATAAGGCGCTGAGTCTCACTATGCAGTTGTTTTAATGCTTCTTTACTTAACTTGGCTGCCTTTCTTTCCTTAAAGAAAACAAACAGTGAGACTACATTAATTATATGAATATCCAGAAAGATAGATATTCATCTCTCAAGAGTTTGCTCTCTCCAAGAAAAGAGGAGAGGAAATAGTAAGCACAAGTAAGCCTAAATGCAGTATAAACTCAAGGAACTCACTTATTCCCAAGTCTCAGAGAATTCGTTCAATCCATTTCATATTTGTGTTCCTACTATGTTCAAAGCAATATGATGGGTAACAGAAAAACATGATAGACCAAATAAAATATTTATCCCTGAGAAGCCGATAATCTCCTGTGTAGAGATCAATGTGACTAATATACAGGGCTTTACCTCACCTTCCTCATGGTTCCTTTTGATAACTCGCTTTCTTCCTCAAATGAATGGACCCCACTCCCCAAAGATGGTTCTTTTTTCTAAAAGAAATGGCAGGTTGATTATTAAGACAAAAACAAAATTCAAATAAGAGGATGCTTTAGTTAAAGACACTTTTGTAGTCCAACAACACATCATGCTACATTAATAAATCAATAATCATCAAATAGAAATTATTAAACACACAACCTTCTATTATGCTTGGAAAACAAATTAGATATCTCAAATGGAGTTTGGACCCTTATTTCTTTTAACTCTGCTTACATCTTTCCCTAAAGAGGGATAATGACTCCCAAGAAGCTAAAGAAAATCTTAGGAAGAAAAATTTTGCTTCCAAACACTTGGGACAACAATGTTTTGACTGATGCCTCTCTTTGATACCCTTCCTGAAACCCTATAGAGTTTATTTCTCAAAGGTCATAGGATTGCAAAATTTATCTCTCTTCCCTATTATTTACCTGCATCTTACTACACCATCAAGTATCTTACTTTTTTTTTTTTCAACATTCCTAAAAGGGTAATAACAAAGTGCTAGTTTCCAAAGAAGTTAGCATGTCTATCACTTGTACTGCAAGTTTCCAAAATTAACAGCTGAAAAACTTAAATCAATTGACACGTTTTTCTTCAGTTAAAAAAAAAAATTAAGGTTACGACAGTAAATTAAAAATAAAGCAAAGGTCAGAAACAGTTGGTTAACTCTTACTGCAATCATGTTTTACTTGCCTTGTGCTTTTTTACTTTGTTTTTCACAGCTGCTCTTATTGATTCTAATGATTCTTCATCTTCCAATGGAGAGTTATTTTCATCCTCCAACCCAGTTTCAAAAAGGTCTTTATCCACAAGAAGACAGCTACTGTCATTAAATGGCTGTTCTACATCATCTTCCTAGGTAACATATAAGCAAAAAATATAATCTGATCATTTCAAAATCCACTATTTCACAACATCATATAGCAGTTTGGATCAGGCCAGAAAAAGCCCATGTTTCATCAGCAGACAAGCATATAAAATCTAGAACATTCTCACTGGTTCCTAATTCACAGTTATCCTTTGAAGTCCAAGTGGTGATTTTATGCAACTGTCCAAAACTAACTTAATCAACTTTTTTTTTTTTTTTTTTTAAAGAAAAATCAAATACTTATTAAGCAATTAGTTCATAAATTCGAGGCTGGTTTTTCTAGTTAGCAAACAAGACTTCTGACTGATAGATGCATAAAAAAGCCTTCTTTCAAAGTTAACTTCCGTCAGATCAGAAGCAGCAAAGAATTACTCCATGGGCTCATAAAGAAAATCAGAAACCTATTTATTTGGAAATGTCCTCTATATATCCAAAATACAGAATAAGACCAATAAGTTTTTGTTGTTGTTTGCGACAAAGTCTCACTCTGTCACCCAAGCTGGAGTGCAACGGGAGACAAAGTCTCACTCTGTCACCCAAGCTGGAGTGCAACGGTACAATTATAGCTCATTGCAGCCTCAACCTCCTGGGCTCAAGTGATTCTTCTATCTCAACCTACCAAGTAGCTGAGTCTACAGCCACCACACCCAGCTAATTTTTAAATTTTTTGTAGAGGCAGGATCTCACGCTATTGCCTAGACTGGTCTTGAACTCCTGGGCTTAAATGAACCTGTGGCCTCGGCCTCCCAAAGTGCTGGGATTAGAAGCATGTGCCACTGCACCTGGCCAAGGCCAGTTATTTTAAATCACATACCCTATTCTCAACACAAAATAGCCAATTCAAAGCAATATTTGGAGAGTAGAAACAACCTCAAGTACTAACAGCAACCTCTTCTAAAATGTTAATCTATCCAAGCAATAGCAAATTATTCTTTAAAATGTACCTGATTTTTTGTTTCCTTCTTTTTTAGCTGTCTAATTTTTTCCATTTTTCTCTCCTCTTTCTCAAGTCTTCTTTTTGATTTTACTTTTGCTTTTCCTGCAGTTCCTTCTTTATCATGTGTCTGCTTTTTGGAACTCTTTCTGTCAGTGGTAAAGTCCATAGAGTTTCCAGAATGAAGACTCAGCTCTAAACAAGGTTTCACTTGAGCTTCAAGATTTTCCTGATACAAAGACTTCTCCATGTAACTTTCATCACTGTCTGCCAGAGTTTTGTAAATCCTTTTGATTTTTGTATTTTTCCCAGCATATAAATTCTCTTTATTTTCCTCCTCAGCAGTGTCATAGGTAGTTTTCTCTGGAGAGGCATTTGTGTCCTCTGTTTCAGAATCACTGTCTTGTAGAACCTTCCTGTTTTTCAACTTCTTACTTACAAATATCTCTTCATCTGAATCTGAAGGAAACATTTTTTTCAGATTATGTAATCATTTGATCTTTCTCCTAACCCCACTACTCCTCAAAAATATATTTAGTTATACAAGTGATATATTACATTGTGAAATTATGTAACTACTATTAAGAACTGATTGTAGCAAAGCAAATCTAAAAATACATATTGAAAAACACTTTCCCTGAAAAAAAATGCCTCTTACTGAGAAATGTAATTTTATATATATTTACAATGTGTAAAGCTGTTCTAATCCTCTAGCAGGTGTTAAAATTCCTTTTATTATAGGATGAATGCAGTTAACCAGGCAATGTGGTAGCTATTAGGCGTTCAACAATATAAAAGAAATTCGTAGTTTCAAAAAGGTACAAGCACTGTTATTTTGCTTTTATAGAAAAACAAACAATAAGGAAGGGGCGCCGGGCGCGGTGGCTCAAGCCTGTAATCTCAGCACTTTGGGAGGCCGAGGCGGGTGGATCACGAGGTCAAGAGATCCAGACCATCCTGGTCAACATGGTGAAACCCCGTCTCTACTAAAAATACAAAAAATTAGCTGGGCATGGTGGCGCGTGCCTGTAATCCCAGCTACTCAGGAGGTTGAGGCAGGAGAATTGCCT